TAAGCTTATTCCCTCCCTGTTCACTTAACTTCACTGGAAGCTGTATTCTGAATAAGTGAATTTAAGTAGAATGTAGCATCAATTTATACAATTTATATGGAAGTATTTTGAGTGTACTTAAGTAAGGAAACTGTAGGATTCTGAACTAGCTGGGACAGAGTTGCAGGAACTCCAGGAGATACAAAGTTAGGGGGAGAAGCCCATTCTTTCAGCAGAAAAAATTAACTTCCATACGAAGAAAACTCAGGCAATTTTTAAAGCTAGCCAGAACTATACTGTCATTCAAATGGAACAAGATTATTCTTCTCCCTGCTTTATCTGAAATATTACCATAATGCCTCAGAAGAGCTTTTATATCCTATCTAAATTCAAGTCTGTCTAAGAGAGGAGTCTATTTAATCTTTAATTGGATCTTGAGTAGAACTAAAACATGCAATCTTTACTGAGTCGTACTACTAAATGAATAAAAGTTTGATGTTTTCTTGGTGATGATTCTGTTGGAATTCTTTTCTAGTCCCTGCCTTACCTCACTCTGCAACCAGCATGAAGACTGGATCAGTAAAGCCTGATTAAATACTGTAAATTTACAGCAGTACTTTTTTGTAAAGAAGATAATAATGCAGATGAAAGATGGATTAACAATGGAATATTTCCCTCAACATAAGTAAATTAAGTTAGGAAAGGCAGTCCTTTGTCCATTTCCATCTACACTGAGCGGGTGGCTAGAGTAACACTTACATACTTGTGCTGACTGATGTCTAGCTGAACATGAGCCAGCAGTGTGCCCAGCAGTGGGTCCAGGCAGCCAAGAAGGCCAATGGCATCCTGGCCTGTATCAGCAATAGTGTGTCCAGCAGGGCCAGGGCAGCAATCATTCCCCAGTACTGGGCACTGGTGAGGCTGCACGTCGAATCCTGTGTTCAGTTCTGAGCCCCTCACTAAAAGAAGGACATTGAGGAGCTCAAGTGGGTCCGGAAAGATGAAACACAGCTGGTGAAGGGTCTGGAGAACAAGTCTTATGAAGAACAGCTGAGGGAACTGGCATTGTTTAGTCTGGAGAAGGCTCAGGGTGGACCTGAGAGGAGGTTGTAGTGAGGTGGGGGTTGGTCTCTTCTCCCAAGTAACAAGTGATAGGACAAGAGGTAATGGCCTCAAGCTGTGCCAGGGGAGGTTTAGATTAGAAAAAATTACTGAAAGGGTGATCAAGCATTGGAACAGGCTTCCAAAGGAAGTGGTGGAATCACCATCCGGGGAAGTGTTCAAAAAACATGTAGATGAGGCTTTCAGTGATATGGTTTAGTGGTGGTCTTGGCAGTCCTGGGATAATTGTCCTGGGATTGGACTCGATCTTAAAGGTCTTTAGCCGTTGGTTAAGATGGTGCATTGTCTGTTCAGTGCCTTGTCAAATCATATCACAGCTGCAGAGGTGCCAGTTAATTATGGACTAAATTAGTTACCACTAACAAACTGGAAGCAATCTGAATTTTTTTTTTTTTTTAAACTTCCTTCACGTAGTTAGTGCTCATGTTCTGGTGGCAGATATCTCTTTGCTGAAATCTGAGTCATAAATTAATTGTGTACCTAGAGAGTTTGTGGAGATAAAAGAATCCAAATAAACTTCAACATTTTATTGCAGCTCTATTTCATAGAAATTCAAGAAGGTTAGCAGGGAATGTTAAACTGTATATAGTATGATTTCATTACATTTTAACACTGTATCCAGGAGTAGATATTGCCACCAGGAGTATTACAGAGCCACTGTAAAACTGAGTGAGCATCTCTGTCTTTTCTTATAATCATAATAGCAAGCAAAAGAAAGTTCACAGGCGTATCAGGAAACCAATGGGTGGTTTTTTGGTTTTGGGGATGTCTTCTGGTATAGGAGAACATCATTACCTCTAAGAACCCTGCATTGCTATCAGCAGCTTGCTGTGAGACTCCTTGGTTTCATATTCAGCAGTATGTGTATTAGCTTTCTCCAGTGAAATGTTCCACCCCTTCAAGTTTATAGACTTTTCTTTTTCCTCTTTTTTTTCCTTTCTTTTTCTGGTACCATTGTTCACTTGATATAGTTCTAATTGTATGTCTATGTATGCAATAATCTACTAGCAAGCAGTGTTCATGTTTCTAAAAGCATGTCACCTTTCTATAGCTGTATTGCAGCTATATTAGTGTAATAAAAATATTAACTCTCTCTGTAGTGCTTATCTCTCTAATGCAATGTGTTGGTGACTGTATATCTGCTAGAACTGCTAACAGGGAAGAGCGAAAAGATTGTCCAGCTTCTTGATATTTGTTGATGCCTTTGATGCCTTTTATTTCACTAATTTCTCAAGTCTGGTATATGAGTATTAGTCTAAATCCAGTTTAATGCAGTAATATATTTTTTCTTTTGAAGGTGTCATGTTCTCTTGGATTAGGCCTGAGATGAAAGCCTCTCAACTAAATCCATTCAGATATAGATTTTACGACTAAACATATGAGCAAGTTTCATGTGTTTTATTTCAGTTATACAATTTCTGTGTAATACTTTATTAATTTGTGAAATCTATGTTATGTCTCCCAAGTTATTTTTAAAATATAAATACAAAGTGAAGTGATTTGAAAGTCATCCATCAGTAGGGAAACCATAAACCAGACACTCTCTAGATTCATTTGACTATACAAAGGAGTTCTTTTAGTTGTTTACATGTAGCCACATGGTGCCATATCAGATGCCCCAGTATATTCCATCTGGCTTCCACTTAGGAAGGTCATGGTCATCTAATTCACAAATGGGCAACTATAGATGCTTTAATTACAAACTGAGTCTCTTCCTAGCTGACAGAAGAGCATTTTACTGCTTAATGAGATAAGAGATTGTAAACAGTACTGTGTTTAGTGGAGGTAGTTGTTCTAAAGTTACATTCGGCAGCTATTGTTCAGAAGAAATGAAGCAGCCTCTAGTATAGTGGAGTAGGTACTAAAACTTTACAGGCAGAGTTACAAGAGTCATTGGAGAGGGAAAGTGTGAAACACCAAATGATTCAAGAATAAGATGGGTTATAAAAGCTGTATAAGAAAGAGGTACTCTCCAGTGACATTAGCAGGATAGATCCTGGCAGCTTGCCTCAGAAAAGCATTGACAGCAGCCTGACTAAGTGGTGAAAGAGAAAGGCTCCTAACATTTTACTTCCATATGAAGAGATTAAAGCTTTCCTCATGTGTGGCTTTGCAGATATTTGTAGCAATGCTGTCTGTTTTCAATGCTGTGAATATTTGTGGCTTACTATCACTTGTCTTACTATCCCTTGAATTTAGTGTGGCAGGCATGATATCAAAGCATACTTTACACAAGGTGGTACTGAGTGCTTCCTCGTACCTTCCAGCTTTCTTCCTGTTGAGTATGGGTGGTTTTGTTCACAGGACAGGAGCCATCTCTCCTGCTTCAGAGGGTTTTAGCTGACCCAGAATGCAACTGTCAGGATGTCAAAGCCAGTCTTGTCTGCTCTCTGGTTCTATGGTTTAACAACATGTAACATAATAGTACAAGTACAGTTAACTGTGAACAATCAAAAAAATTAACCATCTGCCAGAAACTTGGTAGATTAGACTTAACATAGCTGTGATTTCTGTCTCCTATACTTGTTTTCTTGGGGGGAGTCTGTGACTTTTCTTGAAAACATAGATTTTGCCTTCTGAGCCAGGAAGAAATATCTGATGTATTAATCTAAAAACATGAGGTAGAGACAAAGGGTATTCTATGGAACTTCCTTGACATTTTTATTCAGCTATTCTTGCCTCAACAATACATGCCTTTGTCACCAGCAAGGCAAACTTTTTTGCTCTGTTGTCTTTGGTATTGCTATGGCCTCAGATGACAATCCTTGAGGCAGAGCTCTGAATCTTTGGGTGATATACAGAACAACATTAAAATGAAGCGATCTTACAGGTGCCCAACTTCTGTACCACCCTTGTATACAAAAATCAGTGAAAAGTTGGGATTTTTTGCACTAGATGAGACATAATTGTTCATGCAGCACATGGATTGACCTCTGAATTCTTTCACCTGTGAGTGAACTTGTACTTTAAATATACAGAGGAAGGAAATCACATTTATGAACAATAGCAGAAGGAAGTAGTACTTTCTGGTTTATGTAAGTTTGTTGGGTTTTTTTTTTTTCTAATCTACACTGGTTTTATACAGCACACGAAGTAAATACGTATTCTGAACTACCAGGTGCTTTCTCCAGTAAATGCCATTTGGGGACCTTGACTTCAGTGTATGATCCTGTTTGTGATATGCAAATCTTGCCAGTTGCAGCCATGAAACTCAGATGGCTGTGGCTAGCAGAGACCTCAAGAGACTTCCTAGTCATATTCCAACTCTTAGCCATTGTACCTAGAGTATCTCTGATATGTTTGAACTGCTGTTAAACATTTAATGAAGGAATTCATTACAAATTTCAAGTAGCTTGATACCGTTTTGGCCATCCCTAGTGTCAGAAAGCTTTCTATATACTCAACCTGAATCTTCTTCATGCCTTCCCCACAACTGCCACAGGAAAATAAAAACGGCCTTTTCATTTTTCCAGTCTTTTATGTTTTGGTGAGCTATTTTGCTGTTCTCTCTTAGTGTTGCATTTTCTGGACTAGTCAATCCTACACCTTTCCTCTAGTGTTCACTGTTGTTTGTATTTTGAAAGTGCCTAATCTGTTCTGGTTGCTTTCACTAAACTATTATCTGTTTGTCTGATTGTGATTGCTTTGTTAGTCTCTATGTTTAAGGAATTTTCAGCCTTTCAAAGGCAAAGAAGAAAAATGGCTATGTGTGATTTCTAGATAATTGAGCAAGAAAGGAATAGTCCATAGATCTGTAGCCCTCACGTATCTGCATATGGTTTTGCAACACTAGAATTCTATTTCTGGGAAATACTGATGCTGGAGAAAACTGTCCCCAGATGTTAAAGCCTGTTTTCTTTCCTTTAAATGAGGGGGTTTTTTGTCTTTTTTCTCCCCAGGTGGCAGCTGCCGGCGGACATCTGAAGTTTACAGTCTCCTATGACTTCACAAAGGAAGAAGAGACAGTTCAATTGATGGTTCAATCTGATGTCATCATAGAGGTAAAGTGATTGTAGTTTCAACTACCGAAAAAAAAATTTCAGATGTTCAGCATGAAGCCTGGTGTTTGGGAACACAAAACAGCAGGGTGCACGTACTTTCAGTTAGTTTATAGTATCAGAAAATGGACACACTTCAGAGAACCGAAACCTTCAGTACCTCAAGGAGCCTTTGGGAATGTTGCGGTAGCTTACAAAACTATATTCTTCTTGTTTATCAGGAGGAATAAATAAAAAAATAAAACAATTGGTTGGTTGAGGTAATGCTTTCACATTCTTTCAGCAGACTTGTTCTAGTGCAGCTAAGATTGTAAGAATTTGCTTTTGCATATGCAAAGCCATAACACAAGGTTCTGGCTGAAAAACTTTCTTTTGCGCTGACTTTCAACTTTATCAGGCAAGCCCATTTCAGTGTTATGAAAGGTAAATGGTACTCCTGATATTTATTATTCTTGTAAAATATATTATTCAATAAATCCTATAGCCCAACTGGCTACAGATGGAGATTTTTTCCTGACTTTTTTCATATTTAAATGTCTCTCTCTCATGTCTGTATCTAGGGAGGTGACTTGAGAATCAGCACTCCAAAAGGGGGCATTCACCTGCAGCCTTCTGAAGAGCACACTGAAGAAATTGTGCTGAAACCAGAATCTTTCTCTGTGTATGGCACTGATGTTCCACTCAGCAGGAGGGAGTTCATGACTCTCCTTGCAAACGTAAGAAGGATCCTCATAAGAGCCACATACAGCAATGGGATGAATGCCATCTACAGGTGAATGTGGGAAACGTCCGTTTGCTGCAGGCAGCTTCTCAAAATAATTTCTCTCCTAGTTTATTATCACGAAATACATAGTATTCATTTACACTTTCAAGCATTTGTTATTATTTTTTTAAATTTTGGATAGGCAGGAGGAGGAAAGGCAACAGAAAGAAGCATCCTTGTAAGGAATTGAAATCACATGGATTATTAAGGCATGAATGAGTTCTACAAACAAGTTTATTTTGTGAACACTGTAATTCCCATATATATGGTAAATCGTGGAGTACAGTTGGCATGTTGAAGTAAGAGATGATATATTGATATATTGCTTACATATTAGTTTCCCCAGTTAATGAGCATACATTAACATTGGACCATGAACAGAATAATACATGAACAGAATAATACTAACAGAATAATATCCTAAGTCTCTAAGCTGGAAAGGTGGCTTGAGGGGAGCTTTCTATGTTTTTAATCAGTACCACATGCAGAACTGGCTAATCCCAAAGCCATTCCTTTGATTTATGTCAGGTTGCTGCCTGGACTGCTTAAAACCACTGATTACATGTGAACTCTTATTAGTCTTCTGATAAAATGAAAGATGTGTTATATGAGGTGACACAGTGGTTCTGTCTTAGTGGCTGCAGAGTGGTTGAACCTGTAAAGCTCATCTTGCATTTAAAAATTTCCTAAGTGTATAAACAAATACTCCAGGTGGGCTAGAAGACAGCCTCTTGCCTGATACTGTATGATTGCATTCTGTCTATACTTTAATAGTTAGGTAACATAATTAATATCTTTTAAATATGCAATGGAATTGATAGCATAGTAGTTTTCTACTCACATGGTATGAAACCTGAAATGCTGCCTAACCTATACATCTCATGATCCAGTAGCATAAGCCATTTGGAATGGAGGGAGCTGATAGCACTTTAGTGATTATTTGCTTAGAGCATAGGTACAGTTTTGCTACTGTACAATTTCTTAAGCAATCCAACCATCATTTGAATACTTAGGTGACTAAAATGTACCCTAGATTGAAAAGCAGGTTGTGTCAACAGCATGTAGTTTTCTGATTTGAGCTTTAGTGGTGTATATTTTATCTGTGTTAAAGAAGACATGTTTCTTCAATCCCTTTCTCTTTCAGCTGTTAATTAATATGTATTACCTCTCTGTAAAATGTATTACCTCTCTGTAAATAAGTTTGTGAATCGTAACTATCTTGAGTATGAGCTAAGCAGTTTCCTAATTTGCTCATTTGGTGATGAATCTTGCATCTCCTTGCATCCAGTTTGAAAACCTTTCATGGCCATCACCTTCCCACCCTGGTGTTAGAGGAGAGTCAAACCACCAGGCCAGAGCTCATGTCTTATGCACTGCAAGCAGCCTGTGAGCAGCTGAGAACAGTGGGAGGTCAATGAGTGCTGTTCCTCCACTTCATTTTCCTTCAAATAAATTTTAAAAAACCCACCCAAACAAAAACAAAACAAAACAAAACAAAAAAACAAAACAAAAAAACCCAAAAACAAACAAAAAAATAAATGTTAGCCAGAATTTTCCAAGGAGTACAGGAGCAATTTTCAGGTGAACCATAAAGGCTTTTATGCAGTGCTGTTTTAAAGGAGATATTTATGATTGACTTTGTTTGGGCCAAAGGTCTTACTAAGTATTATGGGAAATGCAAACTTCAGTTATCAGTGGTTTACATATGTTTGTGTACTGACATTTGCACTAGAATGAGAAGGGGAGCTTTCCTATAAAACCCGCTTTGACTAGGCAGTTGAAATCTATGAAGGAAGTACGTTGCTGGACATGTACCGGCTCCAGCTTGCCTCTACTGTGGAACAGCAGGGGTAGTACAGATCACATCCTCTCTGGGCAACAACACAGAGCTCAGGTCAGCACACACATGTAGAACTGGCACAGTACGTAGTTTGTGCCTCGTAAGAAGTGCACTACTGCCTGCATCCCAGATAACTGCTTTGGCCATCCATGTGTGGCACCTCACTGTTTTGTAGACTTGTTCATGTTTGGCCTTTGAAACATTTTAATGGTGTGTTATAGATCACTTTCCAAAAATAAGTTTTTGGAAATATTCTTCAAGAAGAGCTCTGAAATAAACATGTAATTTATGCTTTACAGGTTAGTATCCACCATCTTATAGATGTAGTGACATTACGGTTAGGAAGGTTGGTCCCTTAAAGGCAATGATTTAAAAAGGGATGATCGGAAGGAACTGAAGAGATTTTAAAGAGTACCTTTTTTGCTAGAAATGGTTTTATATTGCCGGTACATCTCTAACTGTCCCTATGATGTCACCTACCAGAGAGGAATGCAACAGGTACAGTCCAGAAGTCTCTGAAAATAGTTTGCTAAAAAGTAAACACATTTTATTGAGTGCTGTCAGGGTGCTCACTGCAGTGTAGTGTGACAGAAGAGAGGATGTGAAATTCCAATCACAATTAAATGAATTGGATTTTTCATCTTTGATTTAACTGGAGGAATTGTAGTTTCACTCATCAGTGTGGGATTTACTGGGCAGAGTTAAGTCTTCTCAGAACAGTGCATGCTCCCAATCACATCATGTAGCAACAATAGCATCTGCTGACATCCAGCCCAGTTTATGATCTGTTGTAGGCATTTTGATGATTTTCAGGGTATAGCTCAGTACTGACTGTTTGACTTTCATTCATGCTAAAACACAGTAGGTGCAAAGCTGTAGTCATAACTGTAAGATCATGCAAAACAACTCTTCTCTGTATTCTGCCCCTTTAGTACTGCAGGGAAAGTGTTCAGACCCAATGAAGAAGATACTCTTTGTGATATCTTGGGCTGATTAAGGACTATGGTTGATGGGCTCCAAAGGAAGACATTTTTGCCAAAGAAATAGTATAGACCTAAGCTTTAGTAAATAAGTACATATGAACTAAAAGGTTTTTATTGTCATTTAAACAGGTATGTGTGGTGGACAGCTGAATATTCCCCTGACAGAGTAAAGAGGGTCTGGCAGAGAGACAGAAATTTTACAGGGTTATTAGATCCTCCATGAATGACAATTTCTGCCTCAAAGCATCAGCAGAATTATGCAACATACTAATTAGAGATCGCTATATTAAGCAACCTGTCCATTTAAATACTGAAAGTTTTCAAAATGGATAATGAGACCACATGTGTAAGGATTTCCAAGAGTGCTGTTATGATCTGTGCTTGAGAAGAGGCCAGAGTGGAGGCATTGTAAGATTAAGCAACTTCCTTGGAGTTATGTAGAAAGAGACTTAAAATTTCAATGGATTTGTCTCCAGATAGCAAGAGCTTTAAATTAAAGATTGTATTTTTCACACTTGTTTAGTTATTCAGAGTGGCCACTGATGGTAAATGTGGTAGGCTCTCAGATGGGCACTGGAAATTGTGATGCTAAAGATAATGGATTGCTTACAGCCACATATAGAATCAGTGCTAGATGCAAGAACAACAAGGGAAGGAAAGGCCAAGGGTTTTCTTCCATATGCAGAATTGGCTTCAAGACAAATGAGCAATGATTGGGTCAGTACCTCATGTGTCTTATGTAGCTGATGTGACTCAGATGCCTGGCATAGCAGACAGTAAACTATGCTGATACTGCCTGAAACGTCCCCTTCCCTTTTAATCTTGTTTGTTTTTAGAAGTCAACAGTTGCCTGCTGACAGTAACAGTCGGCTTAAATATTTGGTCTTGATGTCGAATCTCAAATTGTTCATGCATATCCAGGATCCAGTGCCCCATTACTGCCAGCATTATGTATTTTGGTGAATGCAGAATGGCATCGAGGAATCAAAATGGGAGAAAAAAATAATCACTGCAGCTTTCTTCACTGAGTAACTGTTAATGCTAAAAACTGTTAAACACATTAAAATCCCATTTAGCAAATAGCAGAATGTAATGAAAATTGGAACAATTCAGTGCGTACAAATGTGAGATAATACTGAGACGATTATTTCTGTGTGTTAGTGCTTCTCTTCATTCCAAGATCTGTGCTGAGAGGGAACTAGCTGTAGTTCAAAGGATAAATAAACCTTGGCCTTTTACTAGTATCTTGTTTCTTAATTTACAGATTTTTGTCCTTAAATTGTTAGATTTTTTTTTTTTTTTTTTTTATGGTTAGAGTCATCTCCATTTGATATTTAATATCATAGAGCTTGGTTATCTTATTGTAAGGAAAACTCAAAAGTATGATTGCAAAATAAGCTTACAGCAATGGAGCAAAGGGGAAATAATGATGTGAGATCTTATTAAAGATCTGAATAGAAACATGCATCCTTCTCTTAAAATAGTTTGAAAAACCTTTTACAGAGGTCCTGCTATCACCAAATTTGAATCCATTTTCTGACTGCATAATATGCAGTGGTAGTCCCTCCAAAGTCCAGTCATATCCCTAATGATAGTAAAATTTCTGTTTTTCTGAAGCTCCCACCCTACTTTAGGAAATCTTCCTTTTTCCCCCCTTAACTTTCATGTTTGTCTTATTGAGAGTAGTCATAAAATTGAGTGGGAAAATATCCTGTCTTAACCTTTTCTACAGCTGCTTCAGTAATAACAAAATATTTTTCTTGGATGTTTTCGTATCCAAGGTCATCCAAATAATTTTCAGGATTTTTTGGCAGTCAAAAGATAAATGACTTAGTATGGAGGAAAAAGGTTTGTTTTACAATTTCGAAAGAAAATTTATTATTTTTTAACAAAATACCTGTCATGGTAGAAAGGTATTTTCTGCTGAAAAAGACTTCAAAAAGAAGCTTTTCAGGTAGCTCTAGTAATCAAACACTCTATTGAGATTGGTGGGTGAAAACAGAAGTCATTGAGACTCTATCATGCCTTAATGTTCTTTCTGAATTCTTATAAAAATTTAATCCTCAAATCCCAATGTATTTCCCCAAATGGAAACTGTAGAGGTAAACTACATCAGTTTCACGTATTACCTGTAAGATTATCAAAGGACTTTTGTTGTCTTTCTCATCATACTTGTATTTTTTCAAAATAAAAATCATGTTCCGTGTTTGGCTAAACAAAGGCTGTTTAGCCAAGGTCTAACATTTACTTTTTAAGGGCGATTGCGCATGGAACAGAAAATTCTTCAACTCTGTCTTCTCTGTCATTGGGGAAACCAGGGTATGTGGTAGGGTACCTCATTTTTCTTTATGGTACATACCTTTTTCTTTCATACACAAAATACTTAGATCCTCCTGGACAGACCTGAAATCTTTTTCAGAGGTCAGATTTCCAGAATAGAAATACCCTATAACAAAAAACCTTGTAATATTTTAGAAAGCTCAAGTAATGGTTTATAAATTTTGAAGACACTGCTTAGTTTCAAATTTGCTATATAGATGACTGCAATGAAAGTTGGCTCATGTGGCTTGCAGGCCAGGAATAGCCTTCCTGGTACAGTGCTGTGAGACTTTTTAAATCTATTTTTATCAATGTGTTTCTGACCATAGTCTCCCTCACATGATGGACAAAAATAGTAACAAGCCTACAGATGTGTAGTTCAGGAAGAAATAGATGAGTATGAAAACCTCCTCATTTTTGAAACAGGAAAACAGAAACAAGCCACTAAATGTCACAATAAATATTCTGTTTGTTGCATCCAGCTACACATCTACTTCTGCCTAATTTGCTATTTTAACTGTTTCATTTCTGTTACATCCAGGCTAAGAAGTGTTAGCATTGAAGCTGCTGACCACACTTCAGCTGGGAGAAAGGTGGCATCTGCAGTGGAGTTATGTGACTGTCCCCTGGGGTATGATGGTACCTCATGTGAGGTGAGTATCATGATGGAGTCTAGATCAATTGTGCTGACATTGTGATAGTTGTAAGCAATCAGTGGCCCTGTGTTTGTAGAAAATACTAAGAGAGCTGTCCATTCCTATTAGGAATTTGGTATGGCTTGTTTAGTTACCTTTATTTCTAGGTGGTGGTTCACTATATTTGAAAATATTTGAAATCTGAAGTTTTACACCTCTCTGGTGGTTTCTAAGTTATGAAAAGACATTTCTTATAATAAATAGAAAATGAACGCATTATTCGTACTCTTCAGCCAATTGATATTACATATGCATGAAACTATCACAATCAGAAGGAAAATACCAGTTATCTGATCTGTACACAATAAAGCCAGATCAAATTGTATGAGTTAATGTAGTGGAGTTTCCTCTTATTTTCTTAGGGCTTTGCCATTTGCCTTGGAGTCTTTGAGGATTGTGTGTGTTCTTGTGAGGATTGTTTCACTTTAGTTTGGTTCTATAACAGATAATAACATACACACATGCTCAGAAAATACCCACTTTCCTAACAAATTCATTAGTTCACGCAGAATGTGTTCATACAAGTGTACATATGATTAACTAGCTCACATTGGCATAGCTTGAGGTATATAGAAGCCAACAAAAAATTCTTCAGAAGCTTTGCCTTTAAGGAAATAGTTTCAAACACCAAGATGCTCTGCTTCACAAAACTACAAACAGCATGCCATTTACACAGGCACTCTAGGCATTTGCTTGTCAACTCTCTTTTTCTTTAAATTTTTCCATGCTTGTATGTGATATTTAGGGCTTTAGAGTCTACTTTCATGTCAAAAGTGGTTTCTTGTAGCTGGAGCTAGATAAATTAATGTAGAAAGAAGGCCTGAAGGAATTAATGGATATTCCTATCACTTCCAAAATGGTACAGTCAAAAAAAAACTGGAGAAGAGCATTGCCTACCTTCACTGAGAAACAATTTTGAAGTCTGACCATTGTCTGTCTGTTCAATTATCTGAATTAAAAAGTGGGATGAAATGTCATTGTGCTTCACACTTTGAGTTGTCCACTTTTTCTCTCAATTCAGATTTATGTGTGATTTCCTAGATAGTAGTTGGAAAGGCCCTAATAGCAGATGTTTCAGTATCTAGTTGTAGAAACTGAAGGACTTGGGTAGAATTCCTACCTTGGTGTTGCCGATATTCTCCGTCCAACATCGTGTCCTTCAAGGCTAAACCTTTTCCTCAATTCAAAATAGTCCCTGAAATTTTGATATACACTTAAGATCATATTCCACAATAGAAAGTACATGTATAGATAGATGCAAATTTGAAGTCTCTATGCACATTAGTGGTCACAAACATTCTTTGATTCTTGCTGCGGCTAAGTGCCTCTGAAGGCAAAGAAAATGTGATAGGCTTCTTCATGAACACACTTTTTCTGCTTCCCTCCACTGAATTTCACAGCATGTTGGACAGCTATGGATAGGCCATTTGACAAAGCTGGCCTATCTGACAATAACAGTGATAGAGTTAAAAGTTTTGGTTTCCATGCCTTTATTCACTGAATTAATTTCTCAGGAGTCTTGTAGCGTGATACACATTGAACAGTTACGGTTGATAGAAAAAAATAGGGAAATATTTTGATGTTCTGAGTAGCAAGGACAAACAAGAAAAAAAAAACCAACAGTGAAGTTTTAGATTTCCATACAAACTAGCAGTTGAGAAAGTATGGAAAAATAAATTGAGAACGTGTATTTCTTTAGAATACTATACTGTTACATTTGTGTCTTCTGAATACTTTTGGCCTTGTCCAACACTTTGCTTCTTCCGGTTTCAACCTAGCAGAATTTTTTTTTTATTGATTTTGTGGAGGTTTTCAGTTCTCTTCTTCATTTAAGTTAATGTGTGTGTGTTTCCTGCATAATGATGTTATGGTACCTGGCATAGATGCTGCAGCACTAAAACCAGCCATTATTTACTTATTTTCTTGATGTGAAAACTTTGACACAATCAATCTTCAGACGACAACCAATCCCATTAAAAATATACTGTCTCTTGTGAGATTGTTCCATTACACAAATTTGGAATTTGTTTTCTACAACATTCTAGCCAAATAAAATTTTATGGTTTTGCTAGTATATCTGAGAAATGAGCACAGAATTTCATGAGCATGGGTAAAGCAGATCAAGTTTTAAATTTCAAATACCAATTGGACAAATTTGTGATAGTTAGATTGCTCTACTCGTGTGAATCTCAATGGCCTTTATTTGTCAACATCCTCATATTTAATTACTTTCCCCCACCAGATTTGTTCCCTTTATATCTATTCTTTTACTTCCACTGTGGAGGAAGTTGTGTTTGACTCGCATCACTATGATGGTCAAGAACTTTCCCAGCTTCTGAATGTTACATCATTTCTTTTGTTAATATCCCAATCTATGATCTTTTATTTTAGTTTTGTTCTAAGCCTTGCAGTTGATAATCTGTGTCTAAACCCTTAGAATTAGTGACTTTTGGAGCCTTACTTTGTACGGGATCATGTGCACGAGATCACTGTTTTCAGAATCACTGAAAGAGGGAAAAGATTTCTAGATTTACACAGAAACAGCTTAGGTAGCTGCATCTCATGCTACAAGGCTGAGGGGGGAAGGCAATTTCTTTTACCCCATTTTTCGTTTTTGGGTTTTATAACTCTGAATTTAAAATTTTAGTATTTATGGGGTTTGTTGGGAATGTCTAACCAAGAATGAAAAAAAAGGAAAAATAAGGCTAATGTTTCAGGTTTTGGATTTTTATTTTTTTTTTTTTAAGAATCATTAAAATTCATCTTCAAATTACTTTCATGTTTTGCAGGAGTAAGACAAAAAGGGACATTGTCTTTCTTTTTATAAAGGAGAATCATCTTGATCCCTTTTTTGAAGGTGTATGTGAAGGGGAAGGGGTTTTCTTCATTAAATGATACTTTTAGTATTCTTTCACCTCAAAACTTTCTTTTTGTATTAGCCAGGTGCTTTTGAAGGTCAACACTCCGTCATGAACATTTTTATTTTATGCAAAATCCTTGGATCACATGAGCACTCTTATTGAAGAAAGACAATTTGCAAAAACTATAAAGCCATTTGTGAGATATATAGTAAGGAAGACTGCTGCTTGACGTCTTATTATAAAGAAATGGAATAGGTGAATTTTTGCTGATGAATCACAGTTGTACGATGTCACCTTTCCTAAGAAAAGACTGTCCATGCATTTAATATCGATCTGGATCTAACATTTAAAAAAAATTAAAAATCAGAGCACTTTCTTAAAAGGAAATTACTATACTTTATATGTAAGAAGCACAATTTGTAAATGAAAGGATGTCTTTGGTTTTAGCCTGTGCTTTAATTCCAAATAGTCTTTTGTTAGACTCCAAACAAGAAAGACTAAATGTTATTTTCATTGCCCTTTGCAGCTGAACTTCTGAGAAGGTTTTTGTTGTTTTGGGATTTTCTTCCCTCTTTCTCACTCCTTCAGCATTTTGCCTTCTGTCTATTTTTCAATCTGTACCTCTTGCTTTGATGCTGTCATATTTCAGTTCTTCATTTCTCTGCTTTATTTTACCATTTCAGAAAAATGTTCAAGTTAAGGATTCCTCTAATCTCACACCTGCCAATAAGGTTAAGGTCAGTGCAAAGCTATAGCACCAGGAAGAACAACTTTCTAGAGAAATGATGGTATTTATTAATTTGACAAGTATGTTTTTGTGTGTGCAAGTATAAAAAAAATAATTTTTAAATCCCATTCCTTTCTTTGTTCAAGTGAAACTTTAATTTTTTATGTAATTTATCTTGCAGTCTTGCTGGCCTCGACACAGGCGCGTGAATGGCACAATTTTTGGTGGAGTCTGTGAACCATGTACATGCTTTGGTCATGCAGAATCGTGTGACGATATCACAGGAGAGTGCCTGGTAAGTGTCACTACAGGAAACTGACTGAACATGTCCAACATCAATTCAATACATCTCTGCAATTGAATTAAGGACCTCTGAGACCTGAAATACTCAAGAAGAAAAAAAGCCATCTCTTAACAGACAAGATCTTCATGTTGAACTGTTGCTGAAGTTAAGGATCCCCTCATACCAAGACATAGTAGCTTCTACAGTTAAACAAAAGGAATTTTTTGTTCACATAGGATTTATGTTTTGAAATAGAATCAATAGCGTAAGGTATGGCATGCAGAAAGCAGAAAATATTTCAATATTCTTCCATGCAAGATTTATCTCCCCTTCCCATACATCTCCTGCAGCATATTCAATTTATAGTATGTGGCAGATAACTTTGTAAATTCTGTTCTATTATGACAAGAAGATACTGCTAAAGGCTTCCTTCATCTAAATTATTACTAAACCTTGAAGAAACAATAAATTGTACTTTAGAAAAATAAAAGCATACAATTTAGTTAATTTTTTTTTTTCTTATAAGCTATGGAGATTTTATGTAGTTACCTACTAATTCAGCAATTAAGTCTGTGATATTATCCATAACAAGACTAACAGCACACCACTATTTCCAGCCTATTCAGTAGCCTTTTGGAATGGGTAAATTATGCTGAGTAGACTTTTCTGATTAACTTGGGCATTTTTAGTTTTATATTGTCTGACATAGCATGAAGCTTGAAACAACATGTCTCATTTCATTAGTCTTGCAGAAATAGAATTTAAGCCAGTGCCAGTTTAGTGGGATATCATTCTCTCATTTACCTGCAGATTTTCAAGTAGACTTTGTATTGTGCATGTTTCTAAATGTTCCCTCTTACTTCCTTAAGAAAAAGCTGCTAGGAAAAATTAAAATACAGGCTTTTTTCAATATAATTTGACACTTAGAATTATCACTCTTCTTCCTGTTTTGCCCATAGAAAATGTTTAATTGCAATGCAGTGCAAAAAAAGATATCCTTAATGTGTGGATCAGTGAATTTTTCAAATTACTTTTTCATGAATAGAAGCTTAAAATTATTCTCAATTTAATTATACTGTAAGGCTTAAAGATGTGCCTAGGATGAAAAATACATTTGACACGACGGTCATGTTTTGAAACCTTCCCTATATACAATGAAAATGTTTATCACCAGGGTGATATGGAAAGATACAATTTATTGCATTAATGACCATAGCCTCCAACTATGATGTCTATAACATCAGGGTGGGATAAAATCAGTTACAGAAAAGAAAGGGAAGGGAGAATCCTGTTTAAGATGTATCAGAACAATTAACTATTTTGCTTAGGGGTGCATAGCCAGATGTGAGTTCTGAAGTTGCTTGGTTCTCTGCCTTCCAGTTTTAGCCCTTTCACAAGTTTCCCTTCTTTTTTGCCTGTAGCACCAGCCTGGATATGAGAAAAGGCCATATAGTTGCATACTGTAATGTTTTTGCACTTTTCAGCTGAACTACTGACTGAGACAGTAAAGCTCCCCCTTCTGTTGTTTCAAGGCTGCTGGTGTAAAGGTAACAGCACTGACAAGGAAGTGGAAAATAACCAGTTGAAAATGTACTTTAATCTATATGCGCTATCAAGCATTCTGTATTTTATGAGCTCTGTCTGAGCTTATAGTAGATCATGCTATAAAGAAGAGGCATGCAGGGAGCCTAAAATCAGTTCTGGATTTTCTTGCAGCTTACTTTGAAAACACTGTAAGTGAAGTTAGATCGGTTAGTATCCATGCAGGCTATTAAATGCTGCTATTCACTTTGGATCATAAGTCTTTTGAAGTGAAAGAGAGAGAAGTCTGAATGCTGAAAAAGAGAAATGTTTCACATCAAAGGCATTCTTTCTATTGAGGTTTACACAGCCTTTTGGCCTCCTTATTATTATTCATGGTGTTTTTTCAGTAATACAACAGGCAATTTAGGCACCTAATTTACTGATATGACACTTCTTTTTGCTCTTCCTTAGCTTTGAAATGTAGTTGAAAAGCAGCTGAAATATGTTTTTGACTCATGATAAAAGCTCAAATCATCTGCTTCGACATAAGCCTGTATAAAAAGCTCATTTTACTGCATATCTTGCAGTAACCTGCAAGGCCTTTGATCCCCACAGCAACCATATAGAGAGCTGCATGATACATCATTCTCATTACCATTGTGATATACATAACTGCTTTAGTACATAGGGCAGGTTCTAACATTCAGAAATACTCTTTTGTAGTGTTACACATACACATTTTTACAGTAGCTTTAAGAAGCTGGGTAAATCTAAACCCTGGAAGAAGCAAACACATTTCAGGGTGTTTAATTCATTGCAGGATACTACATTCCTATGACTAAGCCCGGAGAAAGCAGATCTTCTTCCCTAAGATGTGCTCAAATTGCTAAGTGGGCAGTCCCCAGTGGCATCCATTTTTGTATTTTATTCTTTTGTGTATAAACAGCATATGCCATGTAGATTGAAGTCAATGTCAGAGCTAGTGGACAAGTGCTTTAGACAGTGTTCATCACAGAAGCGATAAAATGTCTCCACCTCTCTTCATATACGCAGTACACATACACATAGTAAAAAAAAAATCCTAAATTAAATGCAGTATAGGTTATACCACAGGTGAAAAACACACGAAGCCTCTGTGGCATCTTGATTGCATTTGTAACACCAGAAAGGGAATTGTTCATGTAGTCTTGACATTATGGTAGTTTTAAAATGCTTCCAAAGATGTAATACCATTGTATAGTCTAGATGGCTGGGGAATATACTAAAATAGGCATCCAGGCTTACCCTTTGCCTTCTTCAGCTGGCCTAAATGAGTAGCTTCCCTGCTTGTCTTTGTGACAGATACCCTGAGAAAGGGCAGCAATATGCCAAAGGCACTATTTTGAACTCACACTCAGTCATACTCCCTGATTAAAGTTTTATTTTAATCACTAGCCTCCTATTCAGGCTGTTCCTTTACATTCATATGTATTCGGTTGCATATGCAGCTAAGCAGGAGTTGGTTTTGGTGTGAATTTAGGGCTCCTTGATGTGGGCCATAAAGATGTTAATTTGGTTTCTTCCAGTGGGGAGAGCTGACTCAGTAAAAAATGGTGGAAAACACGCTCTCAACATCAGCAATAAAGTCTTTGGGCTACAAGGTTTGAGTCGTACATAAAATTCTGGACAAAAATAATTTTCACATTCTTACTTCCTCAGAGGTTGCCTAAGTGAAGTTTTATGGTGTTTGGAAATAAAAGAGGTCCAGAAAATTGATGCATTCAGGATAGTTTGAGATCCTGGAACTTGAAAGCATCTCATTCCTGGCCGCAAAGTCTATGGATCTATGGAACAAGGCATTGATTTTACCAAAACCACTCTATCACTGTGTTGGAACAAACTATATTTTGAAGGGAATAGATCAATGTGTTGGAAAAAACTGTATTTCTAAAGTAATAAAAAGAAAGCCTATGTAATGTACTGAGCACGTTAGGGACAGTTGATCATGATCATCTTTATACCCAGACTTATGACACAGAAAAATAATTAAATGATCCTACAAACATGAAATTAAGACTTCATAGGCTTAAGCATGTTTTTAGGAAATAATCATAGTATAATTAGATATTGCTCAAACTAGATGATGTTCAGAACTGTTGCTGTATATTTGGCAAGTGTAAAAATTAGATTCAACCAATTGATATAAAGAAAACAATTTTTTCATGAGTTCTGATAATGTCTTTATAAGGCTAATAACTCATCTACTTCAGTAATTACAGTGATCTCTAAATCTGGCAAATTAGTACAAAGTTTAATGCACCACTGAACAGAACAGGCAAATTATGTCACATGTACATACTACATAATCCTTGTTCTTTGTCCTGCAAAATTGGGCCTGGGTCAGGGAGAAAATTATAGGACCATACAAGATTATAATTTCTCAGCTAAAGTCTAACATATACATAGTGCAATACATGCTCAGATTTTGATACATGTGTGGGGGTTTTTTTTTGTTTTGAATTTATTATTTCATGCTGAGTAAGCTGATACAGAGATTTGGATTGAGGAGAATTAGACACAGTACATGGAAGCAACTGACGTTAGAGTTTCAGAAAATAATTCATCAAAGAGAAGGTCAGCTCTTTGTAATGTGAGGTTTTTTTCCTACAAAATGGAAGATATTGGGGTTTTTATTTTAAAGAAAGCAGAAGCTTCAAATACCACTCTGTAAGAGATGCATGGTTTTAAAATAGTGTGTTAGCTCCTCTCACTTCAATAACATCTTTGACATATAAGCTGTTCATATTCTTCAAAAACATTAAGATATGTCTGTGGTTATTTAAAGCCAAACTTAACACAAAAGACGAATCCATTATTTTTCAGAAAAAGTACAAATAATTTGACATGATGCCTTAAAAAAGTTGAATTGCAAAGGACTTTTCTTTTGAAACACTTAAATTATTTTTGTCACATCTTTCAAAAGTGTATCTTCATGTTCCCAGCTACTTTTTCAGTATGACCAGTAGATGCTTTTTGACTGACGGCACTTGAAGTAACAATCAAGTGAACTTAAATGAACTAATGAATTAGAATTTAACCCTGCGGATGGTTCTAAAGCCATAATGAACTAATGAATTAGAATTAACCCCTGGGGATGGTTCTAAAGCCATAATGAACTAATGAATTAGAATTTACCCCTGCGGATGGTTCTCCAGCCATAATTTTATTTGACTTACTCTCATTAGTTGGTATTAGCTCACAATCTACTAAATAGGTGAAAATATTATATTGTGACTAATGCTTTCATTTCAAAGATTTGCTGATTGTATACAAAAGCAGCAAGAATGCACCCTTTAAAACAGCAAACAGCATTTCTGGAGACAGGTGCTTTTTGATTGAGAAGGGTATTCGTAGAATCATAAAATGGTTAGGGTTGGAAAGGACTTTAAGATCATCTAGTTCCAGCCACACACTAGACCATGTTCAGGTGTTTCTTCAGCTGCCCAAATGTATGGTACTGGCTATGCAGAGCACAAGGAAAAAAATGTTACACAAATCATTTTAATCCTGGAAAGTCGTGAAGAAGAAATCAGTGTTCCTTAGAATAGTGCAATTTTCTTTATCCTTATTAAGGATACATTATGTCTCTCAGTCTGTAAGTCTGTTAAATATCAGTCAGTACCATATGCATGACTTATTAAAATGGGAAAACAATTTTTAAGTGTTCTTAAAAATGTTTAAAGTTAAAATGTAAGTTTGGAAATATCTACACCTTTCAAAAAAACAGAACAAGACAAAAGAAAAAAAAATCAGCCCATAGAACCCTCAAGAATTCTTATGCAGCCGATTCTAGATTTGATCTGGCCCATTGTCTAAATCAGGTCAGAACACACACCATTAAATAAAACCTCCCTCCTGGTTTACATTGTGGCCTTTTCAAGTTGCCTTATGCTTTTTCAATACATACCCAAACACATCAAGTTGGCATTTAAGAGCCAAAAAAATTTCTCCTGCTTTCTCTGTTTTTACACTGTAAAAGGGCTACACTTGGGTATCTTGTGGCAAATAACGGTGAATAGTGTGGTGTGCCAAAAATGTGGTAAAAATGAAGAAAGAGTTTAGTTTAAAAACTAATTTGCTGAGCCTATCATGGATCCTGCCAAATCAGTTAGAATTTCTAGATCTTATATAGTGAGGGGGGAAGAAGAGTTGAAGAGGTAGTCTTTAAAGCTTGGTTCTTACATATCACCATGGGAAGCCTATTCTCAGAGGACCAATTTCCATTCCACCAAAAGATCATTTAATTTGAGATTAGCCAAAGGTTATATACAAATATGCAGATCTAGTGCTGTCAGTTTTATGTTGGATTTTTCATATGCTCAGATAAACTGTCTCTCGTATTATGAAAGGCAGTCACATAGAGGAACACAAATTGCTGGATAAGGCCCTATATACAGTATACTCGTCCTTGTTTCCACTCATAACATAGAGCCTGGATGCTATTCTAGGAAACATGTATTAATGAATTAATTCAGGCTTTGCTGTGTTCACAAATGTATTTAGTATACTGCTAGCCATATACGTCGTAAAATGAGCTAAAGCATTTAAGACATGAAATGTAATAATCTATTTTTTATAAATTACGTAGTCTGGGCTATATTTCTGGGATAAACATCTGAAAACTGTCACAAAATATGGCTTCTTGTAAGACTGCAATACTAAACCTGTTTTGTGCTGCTCTGAAGGCTGGTGTTCTTTAAGCAAGCTAAAACAATAGTGCAGCTGTTGTATGGTGGATAGATTAAGGTTGGCAGTTAAATATTCTTTACGTTTTATATAAAGAAAAATTACCCAAAACCCCACAAAATACCTCATGCAGATGAAGCACTCACTGTAGCAGCTAACCTCTAAAACTGTTTCTCGAACAGCAGTAGAAGATTAGAACATATACTGCAGACCTCTTGCAATCCTGTTGAGAGGATGGGTAGGTGAATGACCTTTGAGGACTTTCCATATATAAGTTCTCTAATTGCAAATTTTTGCTTTTCGTTTTCTGTTTAGGACTGCAAACACAACACAGGTGGTTCATATTGTGATAGATGTCTTCCTGGCTTCTATGGTGACCCTACTAAAGGAACAGCTGAAGATTGTTTGTTGTGTGCTTGCCCCCTAAATATACCTTCCAACAAGTAAGATGCATATTTATTGTGTATTACACTTTTTTACTTATTAAGTTGCATATCTTTTTGATTTTTAGTTTTGCATGCGCACTTGAGAGATTTTTTTTTTTCTGTTTTATTCAATAGTATGTTCTGCAATACAAACTTCTGTTTTTTTATATAATTGTAAGGAGTGCTTAGCTTCACAGAGAGGTAAAGGTCAAGAAAAAGACTGGGTGAGACTAAGCTAGAAAGAACAACACAGATTTTGGATGACTGTTCTTTGTATCAAAAACTAGTATTTGTTTTTCTGTCTTCCTTAAGAGTCTTCTAGTTTTAAAACTAAATTTACAAATTTGACATGTGAGGTTTTTTTAATAACTTAAAATCAATTCATGTTGATCAAATAGTGATTTCTTCTGCTTTAATTTTCCTTTTCTTCTGGTCAACATTCATTTGATTCATTTGGAGTCTGAATTCAGCTTTAGATCTTGCAAGTGAATATATTTTGTCAGCATATGTTGGAAAACTCACTATAAATTTGTTTTATTAAATAAAAAGAATAGTGAAAAACTAATCAAAACTCTGCTCTAAGAACAAATGTTTCCTTCATTACAAAAGCTTGTATGTGCTACTTGCTACCTATAATTTAATAGACTCAGTAGCTTGAGTATTTTTTCACTGGCCTTGTCTCAGTACCTGGAAAATAACAATATGAAAATCATTTGACATGATGTAGTTGAAGAAAATTGTTCTGAGTCTTGTTTGGTTATCTTTTCTTGTGTATATAAAAATACTGGCATTTAGGAGTATCAGTTCAAATTAGTGTGTTTGGTTTGTGCCATCCAGCATGGCTTCAGAGAAAAGGAGCCCTGGTGCAAGTAGCACATGTCCAGATTACGTAGAAGAGGTGCTGTGGTGCAACACATACAACAGCAGCTCAAGAAGATCAGGAACTGTTCAGTATGTCTGAAATGTTTGCAATGATAACTAATGCTTGCCCAAATTTCAACACAAATTGGATGTGGCTCCCTTCTGAAAAGAATTACTATCAGTCCATATATGCATTTCAGAAGGATAGTAGGATTGTACTGAAAAACTGTAATCTACTCACAGAGGCTGCCTCATTCCAAGCTCTTCATGCAGCTTTAAAGCTTTAAGTTTAGGTGGCTATAGGAGCTGACAAAGGCAGTGGAGTAATTTTCTTTTTTTCTTCCTTTAGCCTTGCACCTTCTATTTTGCCCCATTTTTCTTGAAACAGAAGTCAGATTCCGTCTATGAGAGGCACTTTACTATTTAAGAGTATAAAGAGCATTTCTTAAGGTTTACAGGGGAAAATGCATGGCTACCACTGGCTGAGAGAGAGCTCTGCAAGATGCAAGTAAAGAAGAGAACATAATCTGAGTGGCAGTGTGCCAACAATAAGGCACAGGTGAACCAGATTCTGCTTTTAAGTGGTTCAGGCTAATGCTGTTGCCTGACCAGTGGATAGTGGCACTGTCATTTTAAAATTGCACTGATCTGGGCAGGAATCATCTAAGCATTTATCAGCAGAAATTCCAGGGGATTGTAGAATGTGAGCCTGCCTTCCTGTTAGCACAGCTCTTCAGTTGTTTTTATCAGATATACATGGATTTATTATATCTGCTGCTCAGGCATGGTTCCTCTGATGTCCTCATTGCTTTCCCATACTTAGTACTTCCTTGCATAGTTAATTAATTATCTTTCTCTTATTTGAGAGCACTGTACTGACAAAACAGGAAAAACACTGTCACATTTATTTCTTGTGCAGATGTGTAACAAACAAGTCAAATAGATTGAATTTAGGTTTTTATTGGCAAAATGCCTAGAGACCTCTATTACATATTCATCAGAGTTCTGTCTGCTCTACTTTCCTTTTTTTGAAATTAAACAAGAGTCCCCTTTTTAATATTTAGCTTTCTTGAAAAATATAGCTATGCTATACAGATGTAGTATATGTCATGTTATTTCTGAATAAGCTAACAAGTGACTGATTTATGTACAAATGATTATTAATAGCTGTCTACAGATTTTCATTCCTGTAGTATTTAAATCCTAACATGATATGAGAAGACATCTGTAGGTCTCAGGCTTAATAGTAAGTTCCTGGTACATAGAGAATATTGTCATTGTAACGAACCTCTGAGATACATTTTCCGTTAAGAAATTTGTTTTGTCTTTTACAGCAGTGTCTTATTTCTTTATGATGTTTATAATGGTTCCCATCACTGTTTTCACAGCACCTGAGTCTATTTCTTTGCAGTGCCACATAAGATAGAGAAGTATTCTATCCATATTAGAAATCTGGTGGTGATGGTGGTCCATAGTTAACTTAAGATGATTTAACTGCTGCTCATTCCCTCTCCTGTTTCCTAACGGCAGCAGTTGCCATATGCAATCATCGAAGCTGCTTCTGAAGTGCAACAGTGATAAGCGACTTGCCACATATCAGAAAAGAATGCTTGGAAAAATCAGAAAACTAAAATTAAGTTGTCTAAGCTTGTTTTCTGGATCCTGGACTATATTTTCCTCATTTTGCATATATCTCCGTATTTTCAATTATATGATGCAAATTAGATCAATATTCATATTACGAATGGCATATGTAATGCATTTCTTTGTCTTACCTCTTCTCATTAACTCTTACAAACTTTTCTAACATTTGTAGTCTTTAAGGAGTTTCAAATAAACTGAATTCCCCCCCCCCCCAGAAATTATCAGGCATACTACTATACAACATTTTCTACCAAATGTAGACGTCTGGGATAATTACTGGTTTTCTCCTGACTTGGTGATAAATTTAATATGGATAGTGAAGACTCTGACAGGGATGTTTTATCACTGGAAGCGGGAGCTAGAAGATATCTCACTCAGCCTGGGAAGGTCAAAAGTAAACTCGTAGTATGTGAACTAGGAATTTGGGGTGGTCTCAGATTTTTGTTGTTTTCTTTGAAAACTAAATAAAATCACAAATTTATTCTCAAGAGGTGTCTTCTATAATGGACTTGTAAGCCTTCAGAAAGCCCTGTCTCCCAACATAGGCCTATCACATGTTGATATTCATACTTGTCCTATGTCTGACTGGTATTAATGTTGTGGCATTATACTGTTACCTTCAGTAAAAACTGAAAAGAGTGATTATGAATCAAGAGGGACTGAGATTTTTTGAAGCTTTTTTTGGCAGATCAATAGATACAGTTCATTAGTATTTATCACTAGTGAGTAATGAGATTCTAAATAATCAGGAAGATAAATTCTCCTTACCCTGCTATCACATATAACCTTTATAATGTCTATATGGGAATTTCTCAGTATACTAATGTTTAGTGTTGACATGTGGACTGGCAAGTCAGAGAAAGAATCAAAAGATGGTAGGTCTGAGCATAATCCTTAAAACATGGAAATTTGGCTATTCATTATTGTTTCCTAGTAATATTAAGTAGTTAATTATCATTATCTTTAAAATTGACGTAATTGAATTCAGAGCTCTTGATTGCACTGTGTTACAGTCTATCTTGTGCAATGCTATTATGAGCTGTGATAGCATCTCCACAGTTTCCCATGTAGCTCTTAGAAAGAGTGAGGTTGAGAATGACAACCAGGATCTTATTTGAAATAAGTCAGGTGCTGCTGATTAGATTCAATAATAATGCATGCCTCAGTAGAAAATTGCTTTCATTGCCATTTAAAAATATAATGAACAATTATCGTTTCTTCAACTGGCTCTTCGTGCATTTGTGAATCTATTCTTAATTGAATGCCATTGCAAAATAATACAAACATAATCCTGATGGGACAGAGGAAAAACCCAGTAACTGTCTAAGCTTACTGGACCTGACCTTCCCACATTTTTCTTACTGATCTCTCATGTCTGTGGGATAACTTGCCCCATGACAGACAGGGTATTTTTAAATGGAAATAATCTGTAACAGAAAGAGAATAAAGAATAACTGATGTCAGATCATAGGAACGATGACTCTGGAGAAGTGGAGTCCAGTCACCAGCAGGTAATCATGTTACATGATACTAATAAGGTTTTTCTGTCTTCCCTGTACCTCCTCTTTTCCAGCAACTTTCATCCTATATCCTGCTTTAATTTATCCATGGTCAGATTACGTCAATTTGTTATTACTGTAGCCTGAACTTTTATCTTAAATGTATCTTCCTTCTGATCTTAGAGCAATTATATTCCTTCTCAACTTCTGTTTTCCTAATTTACAAAAGATAAGTGTAGTGTCGTCTTTTCAGACAGGTACTTTGTTTTCCTGTTGTGAATAGTCACCCCACTATGCACCTGCGCCCATTTTTCTTTTTTTTTCTTATTTTCTTTTTTCTTTTCTTTGTCTTTTTTCTTTTTTTTTTCCTTTTTCCTTTTTTCTTTTTCTTTTTCTTTTTTTTTCCTTTTCTTTTTTTCTTTTTCTTTTTTCTTTTTCTTTTTTTTTCTTTTTCTTTTTTTCTTTTTCTTTTTTTTCTTTTTCTATTTGGTTAAACAGAATTGTTTACCATTATTTGATGAGACCTTATAAAGGTGCTCATATGTATCTGTCTCTAAAAATCATTCCAGAATGACAGAAGAACAGGTTGCCTCTTCTTCTGTGAGGTATCTTTTAGAGTGTCAGGAGGTTTCCTCACAAAAGTGTTTTAAGGGGAAAAGAATATGGAAAGCAAAGTACTAAACTGTTCCGAGGTAAACATAGACATTGAGAGGTGGAGCTTGTAAATGCCTGTGGTATCCTTATTTATATTTAAAAGAACCCCCACCAACAGCTAAAAATAAGTAGAGCATAGCAAAGAGGTAAACCTTTCTACATTGCAAGCTATTCTTAAACTTCAGTGCGCCCGTCTGGCCTGTTGCTTCAGGTCAATGGCACTTGATATACTCAAATGCACTCTCTGGGAAGCACCACCAGATATTTCCCTTTTCACCCCTCCCCTTTCTTGTTCACTGGCTTGTTTCACAGCTGATTATACACAAAGCTAACTGAGCTTTCAAATCAGTTGTCCTTCGGAAAGATTTATATAGAGTCTGCGTTATGGCATAGCTCATTTTGCTAGGCCCTCAAGGGCACAAACGAACAGCTGTACATTCCTGCCTTTCTAATGGTATCCAGAGCACGCAGTGGCAGGCTCAAGTCCCATAATAACAGGCTATTGGGACGCTGCCATCCGTTACTCTATATTCAGTGTCACAGAAATAGCAGAGTCATTCCAAATTCAATTTGCTGGAGTCAAACTTAAACCCCATGTCCTAGACCAGAATCACTTTGCCTGGGCACTGTTTTGCAAATTAATAATGTCAGAAGTAGGAAGAGAGCTATGCGGCTAACCATCTTTTCATTATGCTTCCTCTTTGTCCCTCTTCTTACCCAATATCAACAACACAGCTTTAGCCCAACATGCCATTTTGACCGAAGTCATGGATTAATATGTGATGAATGCCCAGCAGGGTACGTGGGACCACGCTGTGAAAGGTAAGCAAGCACCATGCTTTTAACCATATGAGATCTGAAACAAAGCTATTGATCACATGGAACTGTTCTACCTTTTTATTACTTCCTGTGCTTCTTCATCTGATATTATGTCCATGCTTTTGTATATTTCTAGTGCTTGCTTTATTACTTTATGGTAAAGTACAAAGCTTCCACGCAGCATTTGCTGAGAAGTCTTTTTTAAAAATGATTCCTCTAGCTTTTCTGTCGCTGTCTTGACATTTTTATAATTACTTTGTCTCTTTTGTCATTTGAATGTTTAGAGCATGGTGAATCAAATATGCAATAAAGTACTGACGTCTCTTTTAGAGAAGTTAATATGCAGTGAAAATACAGTTCTCCCAATAAGTCATTTGTTTATTTCAGTTATTTTTAAGAAGATTTTACATTTTTGTTGCTTCTAGTTTCCCACTGCAGTCTTTATTTAGCAAGTAGAACGAACAAGCTAGGTTTTAATGACAAAGAAGATAATTTTTCTTTGTCAAATACATAGAAAAGCTCGATATATATTTCCTACAGTTATTAATACCTATACAAAAGACAAATAAAAATTATGTCTACTATGTCTTTGGTTATGACAGGTCCAAGTGACATGTTAGTAGTGAGAAAGTTCTCCCCTATTCTTTTATCCTGTTATTCTCTGAAAGGATTGTATGGAAAATTTAAATGAAACAGAAGTCTAGTGTGAGTGTTGGTGCTAAGCTCCCAGGAATCTACTTCCACAGCAGGTGAGAGTGCATTGACAGGGAATATCATCACTGTGTCTGCTCACTTTTGGTCCCTTGGGATTTCACATGGATGGAACAGCTTTCAGGAGCAGTTGGTGTGCCAGGGTACCTCTGCTAGTTGTTTGGATGTTGTGATGAATCAGCATTGGCTTTGGCTCCATGATCCCAGTCCCCTGTAACCCTGAAAATGGCACCTTTGTAAGAGGAACAGGGGAAGCCTGATAACTAACATCTGGCTAGAATTATTTACCCCATGAAAGGCCATGAAAGCATGGCACTTTTGTTTCTTAATAGGCTTTTGGCATTTTGCGCTTCCATGAGCTGCTCACAGCTTTTTCCATCATAAACTCCGAAAAAAGGTAAGGCTTCTGAATGAAAACTTACACTATTCAGGCTGGGATGAGGAAAAGCAAGAACCAAGGAAGAACCAACCAGTAAAGCAGGAACCTGACCATACGCTGTAAATGGCCCTCTAGTCCTGTCTTTCCAATTTACATTTACAACTACTTCCTTTTAAACCCCCTGTTGTGATATATCTGTCCTAAAGGAAGAGTACAGGCTGTCACCTGTTTCTGCCCATCATCACTGAGTCTGCTCCTGCTGCGTGCTATTTCTGCCTGTCTTTTCCTGTCTGTCTTGGAAGTCATCGCCTTCTTTCAGCTAGTGGGCTGTGAAGTTAATGATGGCAGGAATAAATCACATCAAGAGCACTTTGGTGGCAGTTTGTCAATGCCATGTCATTGACAGCTTCCATTAGCAACAAGTGCTATTTCTGAGTGGAGCACAGGCTGTAGATAGAGTAGGACAGAATCTGAATAAGTGGCAGGCTTGGGTTTTAGCCTGATTTCCTAAGGAAATGAGGGTAGTGTGATCTTTTTGTGCATGTCTGGCTGACTGCCCGCAAAGATATTTCAAATTGTAGGTCAGTTTCAACCAAATTTGACAGAATGATAGGAGGTCTTAAAGATGATAATTGTTCCTGAAGTTTTTATTAAATAAAGTGGCTGAATAGAGGTTAATAAATCAGGACACCTCACAACTAAGGGGGAGAATACTGTGTATACTCACACCTGATTAGACAGCAGAGAATACATGAGAGAGAGAAAGAATGAGAGAGATTATTAAATGTTCTGTCCGTAAGAAAATTTTCACAGGGCAAGGAAAAGGCACTGCTATTGCCTGAGGGATTACTCTCTGCTGAATAGCAACATCCTGCAGCAAATAATCAGCCCTTAGCCTTGTAACAATGAGATATAAATCTATTGGAAATGAGGCGATTAATTCCAATGCTCATGGAACTATTTGCTTTTAATTGTAGCAAGTTGCTTGGAAACGCAAACAGCTGTCAATAATAGTGAACAGGAAGAAGCATGTTGCCCTTTGCTATTAATAGTCATTGTGTAATTGCTAAAAGAGTTTACCTGAAGTTCCCTTTCATTTTAGCAACTGCGAAGTGACTAATGATCTGAGTCACATGATTCATTAACTGAACAGTCCTAAATTATCATGATGTACTACGATGAAGTGAGCATATGCAGAACTGTACTTATTTGGGCTCCAAAATTGTCTGCCCTCTAGGGAGATAAGATCTCTGTGTGTGTATGTATATATATATATATATATACACACACACATCTGAGTTGTAAAATATATAAAAAATTTCTACTTCTCTCACTTGAACTTTTCAGGAAAATGTTGCCAAACTTGCTCAATGTTCTGAGTTGTCCAGCTCATAACACCATCAAAATAATTGCAGATATACACTGTGTTGGGAGATCCCACATACCTGTAATTGTACAAAAAGCCCAGCTTCCCCATTTAATCCTTTTCCACAGTAAATTAGAATTATGTTCTTCCTTTACTTGTTTTCCCAAGTGATATGAAGTAGACAGACACTCTCCTAACTCCATAGAAAGGGTGTATGAGAATGTCAAAAGACTTGAGTCCACCACATTTACAGAATGGTAATATGCATTTTCCAGCTACACAGTCTTGATATAGGTTAGAGAACAGAGTTTTAGGGAAGAAAATAAAAAATGGGTGAGAGACTTGCTTCTTCTGTAGCACTCCTTCATTTACGACTATGGTGCCAGTAACCTTTTCCTGCTAGAAGAAGAGATGAGAGATCCGTGTAACTTAAGTGTGAGGAAAAGGGTGAAGCTAGGTTATGTCCTTCCTTCCTCTCCCAATCCCCATTCTTCAGGTCTAGCACAGAGTGCCACCAGCCACAGTCCCTTGTGGGTCCCTTGGCTTCAACCTGCTGCTCCTTCTAGCTAATATAATTCTTTCACTAGTGCCAGAAATGCAAGTCTGTGTTTCAGTGCTGATGGGAAAAGGGTCAAACATTCAGGAGACTTGGTACAAGTGTTTTATGCAGGATCGTTTACAGCTTGCACTCTGACACTAGAAAATGCAAGATTTATAGTCGGTCATACAAGAATAACATCTGTGCCCTGCACCCGAGTTAACATTTTTAACTGCCATCTCACATTCACAAGCCATTTCTCCACATGAGTCTTGCCCAATTTTGTGCACAGGTTGAATGCACGTATGTTTAAAAGCAACTGTAAAAACTTCCAGACTTTAAAGTGTTTGGATTTGCAGCCTAGATTAACTATGTCTCAAGGTTTGGGGTTTTTTTCCAGTAAATACGAAGAAATGTATAAAACAGACCTGTGTTTTTGTGTATATATATATGTATATACACAGCACCACACAGGCTGCTATAAGGAGTATTAACTCCATCACAGCCAGACCCAGTGCGCATACATATACATTTATATAGTGGCCCTGTATTTGTCACCAGTTATGCCAAATAAGAAGTGTCTGTCACAGACATACCGGCATTTGAGGCTAAAGGTGAGTACAAAAGAAAGAAAAATATGGAAACAACCTTTGTTCACTGCTTTTCTTCCTTTTTTTCTTTATTTTTTATCTCAGTGGTGTTCCGTTGCACTTAGCAGTTATTTATTTAAATACGTATTTCGTGTAGTACATAGATGTAAATTATAATTTGGGTTGTTTTGTTTTGGTTGATTTTTTTTTTTTTTTTTTAAATCTTTCAAAAAATGTGATGCTTTGAATCTGAGAAGAGTAACTGAAGTAGAAATGACCTTAAGGGAATAAAGATGTAATTAGGGAAAGTGCATTTTTTAATCTTCCCCTGCAACTTCAGGAAAAGTGGGAGGAAAAGTGGAAGAATTTACACATAGTTACATGCACGCGGTTTTCTTTTAAGCTTAACTGGTTTATCTCTACTTTCAGGATCAACTTGAATCTGGATTCAAGATTATGTATGTGTATAAGTAGAACATAGCTACATGATGGTGGTGGGTTTTGCTAATTTTAATTAGCGAAGTCTAAAATGATGAGAATGCACAGAGTTATCAGGGTGTCCTGCTATTAATAGAAGGAAATGATTAGCAGTGCATTTCTCACAAATCCCTGGAGCGTGTTTTTCTGTGAACTGCTCGTTAAGTTTCTGCAAATTCTGTGAGACACAGAACTAACCCTTAAATGAAAGAGAAGGAGGAAAATTAATACACATTAAATGAAGTAAAATAGATTAGTAGTACCAAAAGATACAGATTTATGACAAATATGCCAGTAATAAGTAAGAAAGATCTCCGCAAAATGTGGGTGAACTTCAGACATCATCTTTTTTAGGTAAAATAAGATAACTGCATAAATTATCCAGTTATTCTTTGGCTCTGATAAAACATGCCTATTAATTGGTACATGTATTAATGAGACATTCCTGACCTTTGAAACTGAGATATCATCACTGAAAAAAAGCCAATTTGTTTTGGCAAAAGTAAGCTAAAAATCAGCCTGTTGTGGTTGATGATATATCCACTATATAACAAAAAAAAAAAAAAAAAAAAAGTGCCTTTTTTTGCAGGGAATGCAAGGAGGCTACATTTGTGACAGGTTCTGAAAATAAAATGCCTGAATTATTCTAATGACAAGGCTTTGATGTGTTGTTGCTATGAGGAGGTAATTGTGAGAGAAGGCTATGCTAAAGGAGTAAAGCACAGTGGGCTAGATTGTGAATATTTTACCCATGTTCTTGAGTGCTTAGATGCACCCAAACCACTGGACTATTATACATATTATTCATCTATGGTCTGCATTGTGGGTGTTTTTAGAGAATGGAAAAAATCCTACTTTGTGTGACATCTTACTACAAAAAACTGTTCAATGAAATTCAACTATAATTTCTTCCCTAGTCTCAGTTATCAATTTTTATAATCATTGCTAATGATAATGAATAATACTTAATAAATGCTTAGATGGCTTTGTTGAGGATCTAGTTGGAAGTTTCATGAGCTATTCTGGATGCAAGGAGAAGGATAAACTTGATGAGCATAAAGGGACAAGCGTGAAAACAAAGTGGACCTTTGCATATTAGGATGGTATACAAAATCCTTGCTTGCGCATATCATCCAGTACTATTACAAAGCAGAGAGGTTATTGATGTACATTAGAACTGCATTCAAACCAACTTTCTAATAGTAGGAAACATTAATTTGCACAATGTGTTTTATGTACTTTCTGTTTTCTTTACACTAATTGGAGTTCATCTGAAATGCACATGAATAACTTCATTAGCTGGAACTGGGCAATTTTTCTTCTTTTTCTTCACTATCTACAAGTTGCTCTTTCTGTGAAGTGTGAGAAAACATAATGGAAAGGGAAAGCAGACCTGAATATAAATAGGAAATAGGCTGTGAGATGAGTAGAAATTTGCATTAAATATACACTCATCTTAGGGCAGATTCACTAACCTGTTTTACGTGGTACTCGCAGGAAACTGCTGGTGGGCAAGGTGGAAAAGAAGGTGATATAGTTAAGCATCTCTGTTAAAATATGAAAGGTATAGTCCACACCAACATAGTACATGTAATAATGAGCACTCTTTTTGTAACCAGCCTAAACACAGAGATTAACAGTCCATTAATTAAAAATCTCTGACCATGCAGTAGATCAGCAGAAGGCCAAGTTGAGGGGGATCTTGTTAGGTGAACAAATTTATGTCTGAATTACTTTCTAAACCTGTTTTTCTAAACTGAATAAGGTAGAGGGTATAAAAAAAAATCATCAAGCTTGCTGGTAAATGAGCACAGAACATCTGAGCATAATGTACTAAAATACAAAGCCAATCTAACATAGAATCATAGAATACTTTGGGTTGGAAGGGACCTTTAAGGTCATCTAATCCAATCCCCCTCCTCTAGTGTGCCAACAGACAGATTTCTTACTATGCTTTGTCTCGTCTTCAGTGCCAGTGACAAGATTTTTCTCCCACTGAAATCTAATTACTAGCAGAACTGGCAGGATTTCAGCTGGTATTGTGTCTACAGTGTTGTTAAAAAGGAGAAGGAGGGAGAAAAAAGACACTTAAGAAATACTTGAAAGAAAATCAAATTATTTTTGGTGACTAGTGAGGCAACAAATTTAAATGTTTCTAATAAGAGGATTATTTAAGGGTCCTAACTGGCAATGTCTTTTACCTTAGGTGTGCAGAAGGCTATTTTGGACAACCACTAATACCAGGGGGATCGTGCCAGCCATGCCAGTGTAATGACAACCTTGATTTCTCCATTCCTGGCAGCTGTGACAGCTTGTCTGGTGCTTGCCTGATATGTAAGCCAGGTACAACAGGCCAATATTGTGAGAGGTGTGCTGATGGATATTTTGGTGATGCTCTTGACGCAAGGAACTGTCAACGTAAGTAATGAACTTTTACTACTCCTGACAGTATTGATCTATCCTATAACCATGTTTGTGAGAGGAAGACTGTGCCTCTGTCTGAGTAGGAGAATGATACGGTGTACTTGCACCTCTAATAATAATAGTGTTTTACTTGCATCTGCACCTGGAAAGGGAGGCTTCAAAGTACATAGAAAGAAGAACCTATTAAAAAACTTCCTGCTGTAGTTGAAGCAGTAATGAAGTAGACATGGAAAAAAACTGGGAGAGTAGAACATTGCATGAACACAAAAGGTTATAGTAAATGTCAGAGCTACAAAAATAAATACAAATAAATTAAATGATTCACTATAAACGCCATAAGCGATCCAGGAAAATCCCATTAAGTAGCAAGAATGGTGCTGAAAGGAGGGAGTGATATTTCAGTTACTGAGGGGCCAAACTCTGGTAGCATTTGTGACCTCCCTCCTTCCTATGTATCCTCAGTAAGTGTTGGGAGCTGCTGCGTCTTACAGGGCAAGATTCTCCTACTTCCTGCAAAGCAGAGTCTGAAATCTGCTGACAGTTTTTCTAAGGTGCTCTGAAGGAAGATATCCAGCACTGCAGCAAGCTACCACTTCTCAGCTGAGTGGTGGCATGTTTAAGTATCAGCCTCAGCTCATACTTCCCTTGCAAGAAATCATTGAGAGCAGATGGAAGATTTGATAGGAACAGGAGCTTTAGCTTCTGTAGGAGTTGGTGTCTCTCTCTGAGCCATTGCTGGCATAATTCAGAATGCAGCAATGGGGCAGAATAACTCTACTGAATACAAAGGTGTTATATCAGGATAAAATTATGAAAGTAGAAGAGCTGAGCCATTGTCTTACTGCTGCATGTGTAGGAACACAGGGACCACTTCTGCAGTATTGCAAGCATGTGTGTTGCATGCATGGAAGTCTGAGCTACTGGTATCCATTTCCAGGATTAGCTCTGTTAGTGGCTTGCAGTTTGACAGTGAAAATATTAAGTTCTGTTGGACCACCTAAGACTCTGAGATGCAGAACATCAGCAGGTTTCTCATCTAAGGCTAATAAACCTGATATACATAAAGTCATAAATAATGATGCAGACACGTACCTGTATAAATGCTTTCTGTACTTATTTTGTGCAATGCTGAATAAAAGCTGGACATTGACATAGATTCCTTGCACAAGTTAACAGTTTGGGATGAATGATGTCATACAAGTTAAGGTGTTAAGTTTGTGACGTGATTTAAAAAGAAGTGTATTTGAAAAATTCCAGTAGCTTGTCTCTATTCCTGAGACACTGGTATGACTGTTGATTTAAACATTTCTAGTTCAAATCTAGTAGTGGCGGCTACTGCTGAGAAAAAGATATAGTATGACGAGAGTTCAGAAAACATACAATTAAAAAAAAAAGTATTAAATACATATTTAGTGTAGAATTACAAGCTTTGTTTTTGTTGTTAGTATCACTGTCAAAGAGAGCCCCCTAATGTATTCATAGCCTTGTGCTCACCATTACCTTGTATTCATCTACTCTCTGGCTTTCATGTGGGTTTTCTTTTTTGCATATAATTTCCTTTGCAGACTTCCATGAAGTTTGCCCTGCAGCTACAACATCAGAGGGACTGTGCCTTTACTTTGTTGTTTTCAATTTCATTCCTTATTAAAAAGCCAAATCCAGGAGTATTGCAAAGCATGAATTTTGCTTTCAAATTATTGTTTGAAATGTTTCTTCCTCTTTCTCAGTAGAGTGCTATTGTCATGTGCATTAACCATTTCAAATGACAGTGCAACTTCATGTCACTATAGCATCTCTGAATTTTTTGTGAATATGTATAAAATCATAAATCTAAGAATAACGAGCAAATGTCCTGGGCTTATTTGATTTGATTTTAGTAGGTTGTTTTTTGTTGCAAAACAGCACAGTGTGCTGCAGCAAATACTTGGAGGTTGTGCTGATGGTAATAGAGCTAAGTGACATGACATGAATTAAAGCAAATACTCAAGTGTGCCTATGTGCCTGTGTGTAAGGTACTACTATTGGAAGAGAGTAAGTGTGTAGGTTGATTATAAATACACACTTATAAATACTTATACAAATTTAGAGACAATGAAGGGTCAAGAGAATTAAGACAAATTTCTCTGAAAGGCAATGTTGTATTATAGCAACCATTTAGAGACTTAGACAATAGCTAATTTTCCCAGTAGATGTGAACAAATGGGAAGGCTTTAGGTGAGATAAATAAAATTTCTCAGATTGAGTAACAGTTCATTAGATGAATAGCCCTGACTATATGTGTCTACTCTATGCACATACTGCTAGAGCGAAGGAAAACAATCAAAGTCTTGACTTACAAATTTTCCCAACTACTGCATTGCACTCCGTCATCTCTCTCTGGCAGTGTTCAAGGCCAGGTTGGACAGAGCCTTGGGCGACATAGTTTAGTGCAAGGTGTCCCTGCTTATGACAGGGGGGTTGGAACTAGATCATAGAATCATAGAATAGTTAGGGTTGGAAAGGACCTTAAGATCATCTAGTTCCAACCCCCCTGCCATGAGCAGGGACACCACACACTAAACTATGTCGCCCAAGGCTCTGTCCAGCCTGACCTTGAACACCGCCAGGGTTGGAGCATTCACAACTTCCTTGATCTTAAGGTCCTTTCCAACCCAAACCATTCTATGATTTTTGTCTGTGGCTGAGTTAAGAATACATGGTATGCCATTTGCAGTAATATATAATATAAATAGGACAAAGTCACATGTTTATAAAATCAGTGTTAAGTTTTCTTTTTTATTTTTATGGTGTCATATGCCTGATAAGCAAAATGGTTCAAATAAGACTGACTTTGTTTTTTGAGGTCTGGCAAAATATTTGGTGAAATAATGTTAATTTGTGTTGAGAATTGTAGTTTGCTGAGTCTGAGCTTTCTCATCATCTTTCACTGCTGACCATTTTAATTAGAAAAATACTTAAAACATATATATGTGATACTCATCACTGTGTACAGTTTGGAGTGTTGACAAGAATATTATGGTAAAGAAGGCTGTATACAGGAAGAAAGAGGTAAATTATGGATTCAGTGTTGGAAAATGCGAGTAAAAGGAAAAGAGAAGCAATGTTAATTATAGCAGAAGTGTTTAAAAATGTTTACATTAAACATGTAAACGTTAAATGTAAACATTTTTAAAGTATATTGCAAAACAGAAAGAGATCAAAACCTCTGAAGGTGTTACCAGACTGATATGAGAGCCCAACATATTTTTGTTACTTAATCAGAATATGAGACATCTTTGCAGACACTGGAGAAATAATGCCATGAACAGACTGGCAAGCCATAATGTCACTTCTGTTTGCTTTTTTTTAAAAAAAAAGACAACTTTTGCAGAATACCTCAAAAATGGGGAGAAAAAGAAAACAAAAAAAAAAAGGCCTTTAAATTTAAAATTAAAAATTATAAATTAGCAAGTACAATAAAGTAATGAGGAAGCTCCTGTTGTAATAGTCTATATATAGAAAATCTATAAGTGCTTTGTCTCAAATGGCTCCTTATGACATGCAAGTATGTGTCCACCATGTGTTCACTGTTGGGACTCTTAAACGTTTCTTAAAGTGAAGCTGTCAGGTTGAGAAAAAGAAAAACAACACAGTCAGGGTACTGCAGGAAAGCAAAACGTGTATTGGAGCCCTGGCTTACAGAGTAGATTGATTGGGTGTGGATTCATTCCCCTCTGGGGAAGAAAAAGCGGATGCACAGGAACCAGCTCATGCTGATGGAATTGGTGACTGCATGGTTATAGTCCCTGTGACATCAATCACATCCCTCTTCTGTACTGTGAGCGCTACAGGGATTTTTTCCTAATCTCTGCATACCAAAAGAATCGTGGTTGAAGACCATAAAGGGTGATAGAAACCATCCCCAAAATTTATTTTCCCCTAAAATACAAGAATTTAGAAGCCAAAAGCATTATTATTTTCCTCAAGAAACAGCAATTAGTTTTCATAGCCATTTTAAAACCGTAAGAGAGAGCATTTTTAGGCTGGGTATGTTTTCTCTGGGAACTGTGATGCCCTTGCTGAGACAGAGGTCCACAGGAGCAAATAATGGTTGATCTCTTTTTCAGCTGTACTCAATGGTGCTGCCTGTGAGGAACAGCTCTTAGGGGGGCTGAAGAGGTTATTGTCCCTTCTAGTGAGTCCTCTGGAGGAAACCTGGTTAGGGGGCCTCAGGCTGCCAATATTTCCTGCCTGTGACATTGTCACGTGCTGGACCCCAGGGTAGCAAGACCAGTATGTGGTGCAGTAACACTCCCACCTGCCGTACCCACGTTCTGTGTGGACCCTGTGTAGTGTCTCTACCCTTTATTTTTTTTCACTCATTGCCACCCTGCTCATTACAAGTTTCAGGACATGTACTCAGTAATGTGCCCTAAACATCCTATTTTGATCTGAGAGCATCATATAAAACAAGTTGTTTATGAACTTGAGGCAAAATTTCTCACTGCAATAACGTGTAGCAAATTTTCACATTAATATGGGTGAGTTAAAGTGTGTTGTTACTGTATGGGAGTGACACTCCTGCTTTGCTCAGGCCTGCCTTCCTGAATATCTCAGGGTGGCAAAAGCTGCACTGTAAAAATTTGGCTATTAAATTTAGCTTCAGGAAAGACATTGACAGCTCCTTTTTCTTCCTCTAACAGCCTGTCACTGTCACATCAATGGCTCCTTCTCAGAGATCTGTGACTCTCGGACAGGCCAGTGCAAGTGTAAAGCCAATGTGATTGGGCGCCGGTGTGATGTCTGCAAGGTGAGTGACAAGAAATGGTGTTTCATTTCAGCTTTCATCCCTGCTTCTCATAACTAAATATCATTTGGGTTTGGCAAGTTTTTCTTTTTGGTCATTTTTTACTTAAAGAGCGTATATGTGTTGTTCTTATATACAGAAAGGTAAAATGGTTGGGTTTTAAATGTTTTCTAAAGCTTTTCTAGAACAAAACACAGCAGGTTGCATTGCATGGAGTGAATGTATTTTAAGCCTAACTATGCATATCAGTACATTTTTATATATAGTATAAACAATTTATATTCTGAATGTTTGATATAAATAAATCAGTTAAAAATATTGCAGCTCTGGGGGATAATTACTCTATGAAGAAAATTGCAAAATGTCTGATAGCATTTGATTTTCAAAAAAAGCAGGATGCTAGTTTACTTCTACTGTCAATGTTCTGCTTTTATGTTTTCGGGGGGGGGGCGGTTCTTAGGATTTCTTCTTGTATTGTCCAAATAATGTATTCTTTTTTTGGCGAAAGTATTTTGCCTTGACATTGTTTTGCTGTCTCATGAATCGCTGCAGAAAACAGTGTTTCAAAAACTTTCATAGAGTTTTCTTCAGGCTGCTAAGGAGTACATTATAGCTGGCAGCACATTTCTCTAGTTCAGCCTACGGACTCGTGGGTTAGGCCTGTGTCCTTAGAACACCTCTGGGTGTGTGTAATTTAAAACACATAAATAATTCTGCAGAAATCACAAGGATCATTTTTACCCTTTAAAACTGAATAATTTCTGAAGCTGTTTTCTTGCACTTTTATTTTCAACAGTATTTAAGGTGTCTGTTCAAAGAAAAATAGTTGGTATTAATGCAATTTGCACAGATTGCATAATGTACACAGCAAATAGCTTGTTATTACAATATTGGCAGTTGATTGGAATTAATCCTTGTTTACTACTGTGTTTACTGCTATTTTATTCCTATATATTTTTATGTGGTTTTGTTTCATTGTATTTACTTTCTAACTGTTTCCTTTTCATTCTTAAAGCCCAGCTACTTCTGGGCCCCAGAAAAGCTGTTTTGTATACCCTGTGGCTGCAGTGCTTTAGGATCCATGTCACTACAATGTGATATGTCAGGAAGATGTACCTGCAAATCAGGATTCATGGGCAGACGCTGTGAAATCAGCAGACAGGTGCCTAAATTGAAAGAAAATGTACGAAGCAGTCAGCAGATCCGAGTCCCTCCTCGGAGATGGGGTGTCAGCAGTGCCAGTGGGTGCCCACGGGGTGCTTACCGGGCTGCTCCGCTGGTAATTGGAAACTGTGTGCATTGCATGGGCTGAAGTTTTGTACTTGCTTGTGTTTGGAGCTCTCACAGGCTTTTAAAAAATATTTATTTTAAATAGGCCTGCTACAATATACGAAATTATCAAGAAATAGAGAGGCGCAGAAGATGGGCAGCTTTTTAGGATACTTCCCCACTCATAGGGCTTCTCATAGTGCAAATGACACTATAGGCCTGAAGTCAAATACTAGAATAAGTCCAAAAGAAGCACCATCAACAGGAGTATGCACAGAATGTGTGGGTGATGTATCTATATGTCAGTGGAATCAGTTGGATCTTCATGGCCTTCCTCAGGATAAGACTTCCAGTTTTGCTTTAACTGAAACCAGGACACTTCCTCTTCTAATAATTCAAGAGCCAAAAGCTTAAGGAGTTTGCGAGAAGGTTCAGCCCCAGAGGCAAACTGTTAAGATTTAATCTTAAAATATCAAACATAACTGATGTTAAAAGTCCTTATTAGTGAATATGGCCAGTTATCTGAGCCATTTTTAACTGGGTGAAGTGCCCATTATTTGAATGTGATGCCCAAAATGATAGAAGTGTTCATTGTTTATCACATACCAAGAAAACAACTTTCTAAAATGAAGCAGTTATGGTGCAATTGCTTCTAACAGAGCAGTGCTTTAGGAATATTGAATTTTCCCCTGCAACTGAAAACCTCCACAGTTACCACACTCTATTTAGAAAGTCCCTTGTAGTTTCTTCTCCTCAGCCAGACTCCGGGACCCATGCCATATTTGCTCGTATGGATTCCCTTGGAGAACATGAGCTTTTACCCATTTAACATACATTATGTAACTGTGTTGCCCACGCAAACACTTGATACACACTGATACAGGGACACAATATGGTGTGTCAGAATATATTCAGAAAATTCATCTTATTTCCTCATTGACACCCAGGATTTTATCTCTTGTTCTAAATGTGATTCTTAGAATTTCTGTGTGTAAACAAGCTTTGCTGAGGGCTTAACTTGGGGGTTCATCTTGGGGGTTTGCATGGCTGATCAAAATGTCTTTGACTGTGCAGAGCTCATCACAGGATACAACCCAGCATGCTAGGGATCCTTTCTTCTTTCATGCTGTGTGGAGTGCTACTGTCAGACTTTTTCTTGCTTTCACTATTATAAACAGAATTTATTAGATCCTATCAAACTTGTTATTGAGAACTGAGATGCATGCTGTGCACTGGTTACTTCACTGCCTTAATCTGAATGTCTTCCTGAGATTTTTGCATATTCACATTTCCGTGTTTCTTCCTGTGGAAAAGAAACCTTTATAGGTGGACAGTATATTTAATTGAAACTTGGAGTTTAATTATATGAGTTTGAGTATTTTTTTTCTCTCTCATATACCATGTTTTGAAGAAGTATGTAATTGGCAAAACGTTTCAATATAGAATTTGGAAATTTAGTGTACTTCTTCATCATATGTATAATCAAACTTTCACCCAGGTTCATATGATTCTTCAGGCCAAATTCTGACCGTAGATGTAGTCCTGTATTCTGATACCTATATGCAGTTTCTTTATGAGAATATGGAACTTAAGTATTAGCCTCGGAGATCAGATTTCAGGACTTTCACATGGAAACCTGAAGTCTCTGGGAATTCACCTCTTGGTTAAGTGTTCCACTGTGGAACAAATCCATGTAAAATGTACATCAGTGCAGCTCCACTGACTTGAAAAATCAGTACTGTTGTATGCTAGGTAAAAAAATCTAGTACCACGTGCCTGGGTCACACAGTGGCACATTGTAAAAGTAAATATTTTCCACTTCGTTCCATTTATGTTCAGCAGCAGTGATCTTTTTTAGTATCTCATTTTTAACATTTTGCTTTCCTAGTGAAGTCTGATAGTTATGTAATTGGATTTCAATGTTCTCTGAAAATCAGGCCTGGAAAAAAGGGCAGAAATGTACTCCAATTTTAAGTCACTTCAGCTCAAGACTGAGTTCAGAATTTGAATATCAAGTATGATCTGCCCCTAGGAGCCTCTGTTAGCTGGTGCAGTGAAACCCATGGGGTCTGTTGATTTAAAAGCTTTGTGCAGAATTCCGTATTATAAATGAGCACATATCTTCCCTTCTTTACAAGTATACTTTTTGCAAGCCACTAATGGAGTTAAGGAGGAAATTTATTACTTTAGTTGATAACATCTACCGGTTCTGTAGAAACTTTATTCAATGCAAATAAGAAAGCAAAGAATGGAAAGAGAAGAGGAACAGAGGCTTATTGATCATTTCTGTCATAGTCTTAGACCTAACGCAAAGACAGAAGTTTGATCTTAAAAACAGAGAATTCCCATTATTTGCTTGTCTTGTACACAAATACGTTATATATATGTTCTTCTAAAGTTATTTTTAAATATCATTCAAAAGAAATGCCCTCCAGTGACAGTATACTGTATACAGACATTGCCCCATGTCAGAGGCGATAAAATCTAGTTGTTCAGAGACTTTCTGGTTGAATCAATCTCCATTCATAACTAAGAATTTCAGTTCACTCTCTTAGCAACGAACTCTGCCTGACATCATCTTACAACTGAGACACAGGATTTGTATATGGCACTGACATACATTCCATTCCTTGTGGGAATTGTACTTACAGAAATATAACCTCTTGAGAGATGCCTGTTACGTCAGTTAACATTCGGAAATCTTTATTGTTTTTCGGCGGTGTAGGGTATTTAGTGCCCTTGCCACAGTGTTTTATTGCTACAAGTCAATGTAGCAATGTAGCAACAGCTACTGCTGTTAAGAGCAGAATGTCAGTGATGAAGAGGAAAGAACCACCCTGATTTCGCTACACTCTCAGCTTTTCCTCTGTTCTCCTAGTAATCATTCCATGTAGTAACTGTTCTTCCTCTCTCTGTGGCAGCCTGAAACATTTGGTTTACAGTCTTCAGGAGGATGTGTTCCCTGCAACTGCAACTCTTTTGGTTCCAAGTCTTTCGACTGTGATGGAGATGGACAGTGTTACTGCCAGCCTGGAGTGACAGGAAAGAAGTGTGACCACTGTGCTCATGGATTTTACAACTTTGAAGAAGGAGGCTGTACTCGTATGTAAATTCTTTACAGCCAGTTGCAGATTTATTTATTTGGAGTGGTTTTTTGTTTATTTATTACTAAGATTCTAGATGGGCTAGATTTGGATTGCCTAACAAATTTTCCTGACACGTAGGTATTTTCATAGACAATCTCATAAATAGTTCAGTTAGCAAGGATGGTGATTGGCAAGAAGAGAAGACCCAAGCAATTCCTGCAGTTTTAAGCTCAGTTAATGGCTCATCTACCACATTTGGAAGGAACCGGAATGTCCTTTTCTCCAAGTAATTTCTGCCAAAAAAGTTTCTATGAGGTTCCTATAACTTAGTTATGGTAAGGGTGTCATAGAATGCTGATTAAGGGTGCTTGCCAAATCACATTAGCTTGAAGGGATATGAATAGGGAAAAAAACCC